TATTCATCTTTGGCCCCCTGTGGCCTAGGACTGCCTGTAAAAAGTACCCAGGAAAGCAGGTGCTCCGTAGGTACTTGTTGACACAATGCAGGACTTAGCCACTGTGTGCCAATTTAAATTAGGGTTTTTTAGCTGTGATTCAGCCACCATTGATCAAGATCATATTATTGGAAAGTACTGTTTTCCCAAAAGCTCATCGAAATGTTAGGGAACACCTGATTTCACCTCTCTCTGGTTTTTTTGACTTTGCTGACCATGTGACCTTGGGTAAATGACTTCTGTGCCTTCCTTATCTAAAATAAAAAAATTGATATGATACCTACCTCACAAAGATGTGAATTTTAGATGAGATAATTTAGATGGAAAGCAATGTGTGTGTGCATATGCACTTCCTGGTTTAGGCCAGAGCCACACGCATAATTTAGTGACAGGACTTTTAATGGGGACATTTGTAAGGTCCTGTAGTTTGAGCTATATAACCCAGCTTGCATGAGCACAGGACAGGAAGGGAGTGGCTTTAGTAGCTCATATCTGGAAAGACTGAGGATTTTTGACTCCAGCAAGCTTCCTATGAATCAGTGTGGTGTGACTCCTGTTTATCAATGACAATTCAGTAATTCCCAGGTGATTACCTGCCGGGAATGGAAAATTCTAATTTCTATTAATAGAAATACCTAAAACAGAATTTCCCAGAGTTCTGCAGAGAATCACTTGTTGTTGCCAGTTATCATCGGAGGAAATGGGGCTGGTTTGGGAAGTGGCTGGTTTTAGATAATTGAACATTGTTGTAGAATTTCTTTGGCCTTGTGTTATCCTGCATTGTGAATCTCCAAGAGTGGGTCGAGTGGACCACTTTGTAACAGATGGAACAGGGTTGCTGGTGCTCCTGCTTGTTTCTGAGCCCATCAGACTGCACCCGGACCGTTTTGTCAGCATGGCACCACCCTTTGTCAAGTGTAGACTGCTGGGCCTGTATCCAGAGGCCAGCAGCCAGGATGCAGAGGGCACACAAAGGAAGTAGGGCTGCCTAGCCTTGAGGGACGGGAGAAGGTTAGGTGGGTCGAGGTGAAGGTGCAGGGAGATCGAAAATGCTGTCCTTGGCTATCCTGGGTGGGGGAAAGGGATTTGACTGTTCGGTCAAGAAGTGGAATGAGAACCAGTGGGTAAAAGGGATTGGGAAACACTTTGGACGGAACCCAAAGTAGGATTTTCTAAGAAGATGGCTGTGTTTTACATACTGACACAGTCTTCTTGGAAGGCAAGATTTGGGGTTGGTGTGGAAGCATTAAATGGTGATGAAAAGTGTTCTTTAAATCCCATCCAATGCTGAGTCTGTGAATTTGTGATTATTTTCTTTTGTTTGGCAAAATTTATTTCCTCAGCCTTTTATTTTTTTCAGCGTTGTGCTAATTCCTGTAGATAATCAGAAAAAGCATTAATAGGTGGTTTGTGTACATTGTTAGTTGAATGGCAAGACCAACATGTGAGACAGTTGTTAGCCAACTAAGACAAAACATAAACGAGGCAAAATTTTGATAATCTCTAACAGTACCACAGAAATTCCAGAAGAGGAGGACTGAAGAAGGATGTAAACTGGGGGTTGAAAGTTTAATGAGATTTGCATGGCAGACAGGAGAGCAGAAGCCCCCGGGTGGAAGGCTTTTGAGCAGGAGCAGTGTGGATAAATCTGTAATTAAGGAAAATCCATCTGGCAGCTTTGTGGAGGAGATAAAGATTGGAGAGCTGGCTCCTTAGCAGTAATCGTGTAAGCCATGTGGGTTCCTGAAATCTTTGAGGGAGACGCTGTGGCTGTAGCACGGATGAGCAAGGTCTTAAAGCTTAGTCCTTTGAGCACAGGTACACCTGGTGTAGGGTCCATTCTCAGCTGACCTTGGTGAAGCAGCATGGAGAAACTGAAGCCTAGAAATGGACTGTAAGTTGAATAGTATTACTTGTCTCTTAGGATAATTATGAGAATTAAATGAGATAATAATTAAGTGCTCAATGGATGTTACTCACGGTTTATTATGTAGCTGAAGTTCTCTAGAGCCATGGTTCTGGAAATGTTCTCAGACTCCCCACATTGGTATCACTTGTGAGCTTGCTACAAGTGCAAATTCATGGGCCCCACTTGGGATTCCAGATCAAAGAAAGTGTGAGGGGTGCCTGGGTGGCTCAGTTGTTTGAGCATCTGGCTCTTGGGGTCCTGGGATCAAGCCCCACGTTGTACTCTATGCTCAGTGGGGCATCTGCTTGTCTCCCTCTCCCTTTACCCCTCCCCCCGCTCTCTAAAATAAATTAATAAATCTTTAGAAAGGGAGGGGGAAGAATTTAAAAGAGGGGCCAACAACAGTGTCCTTACAGAAGATAAAAGTACCCAGAAGACTGAAATTTAGGGGAAGGGAAGTAGTATGTTTTTTGCAGGGCCCAGCTAACAGCCTTACATGCAATGTTTAATGAATATTTGTTTTCATATTATTTTTTTTTTAAGATTTTATTTGAGAGAGTGAGTGAGCGAGAGAGAGAGAGCACATGGGCAGAGGGAGAGGGAGAGGGAGAAGCAGGCTCCTCATGGAGCAGGGAGCCTGATGCAGGGCCTGATCCCAGGACACTGGGATCATGACCTGAGCCAAAAGCAGCCGCTTAACCTACTGAGCCACCCAGGCGCCCCATTGTTTTCATATTATTGAAGACAGCTGGTTTAGTATTACGTTGGCGATGGAAGGAACATTTCAGGGCAGTTATATATAATATGTATAATGTACATATTCTGTAGCCCAAATGATGAAAAAATACCATGAAACCACATTAGAAATTTGATATTGGATGGAGTTTAAATCTTCTGTTCAGGGATACTTCTAGACTGCCTACCTCCCGTGACCTGTGCTGTCCATCTGCTGTAGATAAAAACTGCGATGTGACTCTTGCTTTCAGAGGCTTCACAGAGTTACACTTTTTGAAGGACTTGAAGCCGTCTTCTCCTATAACTTTTCTGGCCACAGAGAGTAAATATTCTCTCTGATGTCTTCTCTGCCGTGGTCAGAGGTTAACGTGTGGTGTCTTCCACTTGGTCGCTGCAAGGCCTACTTTGAAACCACTTCATTTCTGAAAGCATTATAGACATTAATTTTTTTGTTTATTATTTTATGGCTCAGGACATACCTTAGACATCATTTAAATCCTTTGAAACAAGATTTTATGTCCCTGTTTAATGTGGGCCACCTGGGGTTTTCATGGAGAATTGTGCCAGTTGGTCTGTCCCCATCCCCAGCCCTGTCACAGTATAAGCACCAAACAGAGTAGCTTGAAATAAAGTAAATTGACGGCTAGGCTTCATCCATTTAGTCATTATTTACTGCCCATTGTGTGCAGGACACTGTGGATAATAATGATGAAGTGGTGTCAATAAAATATGCCTCGTGGAAGAGCCAGGACAGCCCGAGGCCTTGTGTATCGAGCCTGGCAGAGTGGCCCAGGCGGTTGGTAGCATACCTGCCTGGGGCCTGGTTGGACGGCAGCCAAGTGTTCAGATGATCTCCAGCACACACCAGAGTTTGGATGTGTAAAATGTGCCACCCCTGAGGGACACCCCTCTTTTACAGTGGTGAAGAGAAAAGAGATTAGATTAGAATGGCTGGTTAAGAAGTTGTGTTTTGACGGGGCGCCTGGGTGGCTCAGTCTGTTAAGCGTCTGCCTTCGGCTCAAGTCATGATCCTGGGGTCCTGGGATCGAGCCCCACATCGGGCTCCCTGCTCAGCGGGGAGCCTGTTTCTCCCTCTCCCTCTGCCTGCCACTCTGCCTACCTGTGCTCTCTCTCCCTCTCTGTCAAATAAATACAATCTTTTTAAAAAATTATAAAAATAAAAAAAGTTGTGTTTTGAAACCTTATAATTTCTTGAAAATGAATGGCATGGTGTTTGAGATTGCAAGGGGGCATACCGGAACCGTACTAACTCGTCTTTGTGACTCCCTAGTTTCCCGTCTCAGAGACACTTCAGAAAAACATGAGTGGAGATCATTTCCCAGAGATGATGACCGGTTAATCTGAACAATTATTTGTTAAGAGTAAATTTTTTGTTTTGTTTTGCTTTTATTAAAATATAGTTGAGGGGTGCCTGAGTGGCTCAGTCGTTAAGCGTTTGCCTTCGGCTCAGGTCATGATCCCAGGGTCCTGGAATGGAGCCCCGCATTGGGCTCCCTGCTCTCCCTGCTTGTGTTCCCTCTCTCGCTGTCTGTCAAATAAATAAAATCTTTAAAAAATAATAATAAAATATAGTTGACATATTGGTCACAGGTGTGCAATGTAATAGTTCAATATTTGTATATATTATGAAGGGAATATGTTTCAGTTGACACTTGGATCAAGTTGCGTGTTCTTTTCCCATTGCTTTGGGCTTTCGGGCTGAGGTGGGTGGGTAAGTCAGACCGATGACAGTCTCTCATTATCTTCTTGTCTCTCCAAATCCCCTGAAGAAAGGTAGCTGGAGTCCTAGTCCACCACTTTCAAAGGTTGCCAAGACCAGATCTGGACCTAAATGTTTCTAGTAGGCAGAGTGGACAGTGATTTCCTTTCTCTGAGTAGAGCCAGTGAGTGTTGAGAAGGTCACCTTAAAGCAAGATGAGATCTTTTTTAAGTGTTTTAATCTAATCCATAAAGGTTTTGTGATCATCACAGTGATAGAATACAGATTGGATATTTGAAGACCTGGTGGAATAGAACTTTTGTAATTTATGGGTTTGTTTTTTTCTAAAACTGCTGAATATTGACAGAAATTCCCCTTAGTCCTACAGAGCTACCCAAGAAATGTTGGCAACCTGGAAACATTGAGCCCAGAATGGAAAATAGAGTTAAGGCATTTTGGGGTTTTAGAACTGAAAGAAGTTTTTTTTTTTTTTTTTTTTTTAAAGAAAGAAACCCCAAGTATGTGTGTTTGTTTTGTTTTGCTTTAACGATTGTTTTTGAATTCACCTCTTTTTCTCTCCCCTTCTGTTTTCTGCAGTGAACACCTACCTCTTCATGATGCAAGCTCAAGGCATTCTGATCCGGGACAACATGAGAACAATTGGCGCTCAGGTTTATGAGCAGGTGGTTCGGAGTGCTTATGCCAAGAGGAATAGCAGCATGAATGACTCAGGTATATTTTTAGTAAAGAGGTGGTCTGATTAGAATGTCTACTCCCGGGGCGCCTGGGTGGGTCAGTCGTTGGGCGTCTGCCTTCAGCTCAGGTCATGATCCCAGGGTCCTGGGATCGAGCCCCGCGTCGGGCTCCCTGCTCGGCGGGGAGCCTGCTTCTCCCTCTCCCCACTCCCCCTGCTTGTGTCCCCTCTCTCGCTGTGTCTCTCTCTGTCAAATAAAATAAAATCTTAAAAAAAAAAAAAAGAATGTAAAAGAATGTCTACTCCCCACAGAGGTAAATTTGGTTCAAGTAATTATTTTTGATGGAGAAAAGTGCATTGTAAAAGAAGGTGTGGCTGAGTCTTACCTTATTACTAAAAAAGAGACTCTTGTAAAATGAATCTTTGTTCGTTTTGCTAACAGTATATTAAGGGTGGCTGGATGACGCCAGTTTGCTCCTAAGACTTTTCAGGGTCAGGGAGGTAAGAAATATCTTTTAAGACCCCGTTTTTCAGTGCACTAGCCTCCAAGAGGGTACCAAAATTAAGCTTGTGTTTAGGACACAAGCAAAACAGGAGCACCAAAAGCTGTTTCTGGAAATACTTTGATTTCAAAAAAGTGTTCCGCACAACCAGACTTTCTTCTACTTACTTATTTTAGGGTTCAACACTGTGGGGTTGGTTGGTTGATTTTGTTTTGTTTAGTTGCCTGTGGTGGTGGTAGTGGTCCATAGTGTTTTCAAAGCAAGTCTGGCCCTGGTCGCCACACTAGAAGAGTTGCTTCGACTCTGTTCTTCCTGTCGGACTCTCCTCAAATTTGGTCAGTCCAGGAGGATTTGTTTACCTCGTTTACGAATGCTTCGAGACTTAACAAATTTCTACTTCATAGTAATCACGTAATCTCAGACAGTCTCCACAAATTAAGAAAAAAAAAGCAATTTAATCATTTACCTGGTTTACTTTCCCTCGTCAGGTGTGGTTTTCATCCTGTGGTTTAATTCCAGCTACGTGACTGAGTTTGGTAGTTGGAATTACTCAGCTTTGCAGAAAGCTTTTCAGACTATTTCGCTAAAGATGGCAATGACAGACACAAGAGTGAACATTTCTGCCTTCTCAGTCTTCGGAGCTTTTACCTGTGGCTTTTATTATCTTATAAGCACTAATTATATAAAGAGGAAAAAAGAACACAGAGCTTAGGTGGCTTGCCTAACATTATGTTAAAAGAACTTGTTCCAGAATCATGGTTTTGACTCTATTTTTATAAAGGCTGAACACGGCAAGTGCTTCACCTTTGAAAGCTTTTTTGTCTCTCTTTTTAACTCTTCCAAAAATTGAACATAGGAAGTATTTCCACATGGTTAAATGGGATAGTCGTGAGGCTTCTCCTGTCTGGCCAGGGATGATTTTTATTTAAAAAATAGATTCTGAGGGCGCCTGGGTGGCTCAGTTGGTTAAGCGACTGCCTTCGGCTCAGGTCATGATCCTGGAGTCCCGGGATCGAGTCCCACATGGGGCTCCCTGCTCAGCAGGGAGTCTGCTTCTCCCTCTGACCCTCTTCCCTCTCGTGCTATCTCTCATTCTCTCTCTCAAATAAATAAAATAAAATCTTTAAAAAAAATAGATTCTGAGATTTTATTTTGCTAAGCATTTATGATTTGCCTTTTATTTCTTTAACTGAGAACTAGAGTGCTTTCCTGGGGCTCCTTACTGATTTCACTCAAGCCTAGTGCAGTATTATAAAATGAGTACTAGTTTAAGAAATATTCTTTCCTCTTTTCTTCTGTAGTAAGTTCTGCAATTGTCCAGAGCTCACTATAGAATGTGAAATTGCTTTGCAAACATTGCAAATGAGAATTCTGTGGTGCTTGGGATCTCAGGAGAAAGCATTGTCTCTCAAAGGGAAATGAAATCCTTAAAAGAACTGACCACATCCTGGTTTATCTTCAGTCTGCCCTGCTGGCTAACTTAGCAACAAAGGAGTATAGTTAGCAAACTGAAGCTTTAATACTTCCTTTCTTCTTGTTTGCAAAGAGCAAGTTATTGACTTTTCAGAGCTTTTCGGCCAAATTGTGGCTTCAGGGGACAATTACCTGAGCTCTGACCCAGACCTGGAAGAGGAACTGGATGAACGCCTGAAGTCATGGGAGAAGGCTGAGCACACTTTTGTTTCCTCATTCATTGTGTGTGGCTTTAGGTTTTGCAAATAATCCCCTCACACGTTGTCTCCCTTGACTCCAGCATGGCCCTGTCGGGTAGGCAGGATTTTATGCGACTTCATTTCTTCGGTGTAGTACAAATGATCTGGGGGGGGGGGGCGGTTTGGAGTGACTGGGTGGTGTGATGTTTCCTGAACCCCACCCGAACCTGCTGGTCATCGTGTGCTGAAACTAGGGAGTCCTTTGACTGCTTCTCCAGAGCTCTTTGCCCTGATGAGTCAGGAAAAAGGAACGTTTGTGCTGCCGTGACATTGATCCTGTCCAAGTGTTCATGCCTCTCCAAGGTCAGATGATGCTGGGACTTCCATCCGGGCATTTGGCGAAGTAGTCTGTCCTCTCTCAGAAGTTAGAGGGGCACACACAGAATCCCGTCCCTCCACAAGCACAGGATCTCACTAACTCCCCCACGGGTGGTTGTCCTTGAAAACCAAGCACCAAGTGAGTTGTGCCCTTGGAAGGCATATCCAGGGACCCGTTATTATTTGACTTAGCATGTGTTTATTTTCAGGTTATCATACACTGAAATAATTTTTCCCAGCATCCCTCTGGTTGGAATAATCACCCATTTTGTGTTCATGGTGTCTATTTCCCTTATAAATTGGAAGTCTTTGCTATCCCATTTGCTCTGTGCTGGACGCTTAACTTGCATTGCCTCGTGGACTTGTCAGGAACTCAGTAGAGTCACTGCGGTGTCCCCACTCGAGGGATGAGAGTGTGGAGGCACCCAGGAGTCACGGCCTGGGTGTGGCTGCGTGGTTGGGCCTGCTGACCTCTGGATCCTTGCAGTGCCTTCATGGTCTTCCCCGTCTATGTAGCCCCAGTGCGTTGTACACTGCCTAGCGCGTAGGCCCTCAGGAAGTGGGTTTTGAGTGCGTGAGTGAATAGATTTAACAAGAAAACATTTTAAGTGTTGTGACCTAATTCCGAGATTACCATCTTAATTGGCTTCTGTGTTGTTGGCCCATCCATGGGGAGTGGGTATTAAAGAGGAAATGTTATTTCATTGGCAGTGTATCCAGTGAAAACCCACCATTTTTATTCATTTCAAAGCAGTTCTCTGCCTGGCACCCTCAGAGAGGGCACTCTGGACCTAAAGCTGCTGAGATAATTGGGTGACTGTCATTTCTGACCCGACCACTCCCACCAGGAGCCACCAGGGGCTTGACAAGGATAACAGGACTGAGGTGGTCCGTGAGCTCTGCTGCTCCACCCTGGACACAGTGCTGGGGGCACACACCCACATTCAGTGGCCTTCATTAGGCCAAGTGTAGCTGAAAAGCTCTGTGTGACAGAAGTAATGCTAGCTTTCTTTACCCTTGGAAGTTAAAGTGGTAATTGTCTAATAAGAATGCACTTTAGGTGGGGCGCCTGGGTGGCTCAGTCGTTAAGCGTCTGCCTTTGGCTCAGGTCATGATCCCGGGGTCCTGGGATCAAGCCCCGCATCGGGCTCCCTGCTTGGTGGGGAGCCTGTTTCTCCCTCTCCCACTCCCCCTGCTTGTGTTCCCTCTCGCTGTCTCTCTCTCTGTCAAATAAATAAATAAAATCTTAAAAAAATTAAAAAAAAAAGAATGCACTTTAGGGTATGAGGACTGTGAGCCAGGAAATACACCTGATGTGATAAGCTAGAGAAGAAGCTTCTTGTCACTGAAAGCCATGTGGAGTATGAGATCAGGAATCTGCAGAACTTCCTGTGAGCAGTGGGGGAGAGGCTCAAAAGAACATTGGCATCAGAAGAAAACTCCCACTTAGGTTTTTTTTTATATTATGTTTATTTATGTTTTTTAGTAATCGCTACCCCCACAGTGGGACTCAAACCCACCTGAGATCAAGTGTTGAACATTCCTGTGACGCAGCCAGCCAGGCACCCCCCTGCCACTTAGTTTTATAGTTAGGGCGAGTGGTTGGGTGGCCTGTCCTTTCTCATCCTTAAATATGAGTTTACAGGTGTCCTTCTACCTGTAACTTTCACCCAGAGGGAGATTTCTTACCTCTCTACACACGTGTGCACGCACATGCATGCAAACCTTCCCACGCCTCCGGCCCCAACCCTCTTTGTGTTCAAATACTCAGAAAAATGTTCTCTTGCCCACATCCTTGGAAACAGGATTGTTGCCATAGGTGAATAAAGTCATTGCTAGGGCGCTTTGTAATATAGTCAATGAGCTGGATATTCTTACCTTCTTTCTCTCTGGTTTTTAGGCGCTTAGTCCATAGTCTTCCTACGTCTACTCACCCAGCAGGTACAGGGTCATCCTTAGGTGTGCTAACTTGTGAAAAATGCTAATTCTATTTTACAGATATTTGTTCTGATGACATCATTCTAGCATATATAAGTTTGCACGTTTTCCAAGCAGAGAGGGAAGTGTTTGGTCTTTTCTCAAATGGAAGGGAAAGGTGGTGGTTCTTCCTGTAATCTCTTGGTCAGCATTTCCTAGTCCCTGCTCCACTGGATTTGGTAAGATAAGGGAGAAGGCAGATTTTTGCTACCCCTGTGCATTGGGGTAGTCACGTCAACCCCAGTGCATCTGAAAACCCCTGCCAAGGTGGGGCTTTAAAAAATACCAAAGCCTGCACCCCACCCCCAGAGGTTCTTATTTAATTAGTCTGGGAAAAAGCCTGGGCATTACTAGGATTTTTAAAAGCCTCGTAGATGATCTAATGTGCAGGCGTGGCTGCCGAACCATTGGTGTAAAGCAAAGTTGAATCATCAGGGCCATCTGAATTTGTAGGTAGGAAGGATGTCTGTTGTTTTTCCATTTTATAAATGTAGAAACAGTGCCTTCTTTGCCCTTCTACCTCCCTTG